ACAGTTAGTTTTATATGTATCGATGAACCAAACAATTGGCTACTATTGGCGGCACAGTTAGGCGATTGGATCCGGTTATGGCATATGAATAAACTATTGAATACATGTCTAATACTGATGGCTATACTAACCTTATTATCCGAATTAACCTATTCATACAACTACCTGATCTTTGGTGGTAATGAACCTACATTTTTACGTGTATTTGAAATGATGTCCGGTTTGCGGGGTCGGACACCCCAGTCGATTGGTCTAACCGACCCACAAGAGATCCAGAAGCTAATCAATTGGATGCGTTGGTTATCCCTATTGTGTCAGTTTAATGTTAAATATATAGTACCCGTGTGTTGTCTAGTAATATGTTTGACTAGTTATCTAGTATATCAAATGCCCCTAATCTATACACTAGTATATGGTATACCCAATACCCTACTGTTTACCCTATGGTGCTATTATGTATGGAATATACTACAGTTCCAGTTTATATACTATTATATATTGTGCCGGTATCTAAAACTAAAACAATGGGAATTATATCGGAAATTATTGATACTAATAAAACCAAAAATAATTACTACTAATAATATAAAATTAATTAATTTAATGAAATTAATGGACAAATTGTTTGCGGAAATCACAGATTATAACCGGACTTATTGGTCAAAATTTTTACTATACGTTTGGTTGACTTTTGGTACCAGTATTGTTGTCATAATAAATAGCCTATTGTTTGGTTCAATGTATTATTTGATACCTAAACTAATATTTACCTATACTTTACTAATATTTTTATTGATATTTTTGTTTATTATATTTACTGCCGCCTCAGTTAATACGTTTAATTTGAAATTTTTTATGCTATTAAATAAATTGTTTTATATATAATCAAATATTTTTTATTTAAAAAAATTAATTTCTTATTATTATTTTTTTAATTTTGTTTAATTAAATTTTAATATTACTCAATAAAAAATATTATTAAAGTATTATAAAATAAAACTGATATAACTATTATAAGTTAATTGTATTAATTATTTTTAATTAATTATATATATATATCAAACTTATTTGTATTGGAAAATAAAAATTAATAAAAAATAATTCAATTTTATATTATATATTTAAGTTGTTATATTAATTTCATTGAAAAAATAATTATTAATAACTAGTAATAAAAATTAATATATAACTACTTAATAATAATAATAATAATAATAAAATTGATGATTATAATTAATAGAAAAATAAATAAATAAATAACTTATAATGTTTATAACTGTTAATTACTATAAATAAATTATACAAAAAAATAGATAATAATTTTTTTATATGTCAAAAAAATCAATAATAATAATAATAATAATTATTATTATTATTATACAGTAATTATTATAAGCGCATGAAATAAACTTTTTTATTTCAAAAAAAACAATTATTATTAACTAATATTAATGTTTAGATTTGAAAACATTTTATACACTAATATATATATATAAATTAATTAAACAATATCTGAATAATTAATAATAATAAAAAAAAACAATCAATTTATTTGAATAAAAAAAAATTAGAAATATAATAATACATTTTGAATTTGCATTTCAATGATAATAAAATTAATTAAAAATAGTAGACAACTATTTGTTTCAATATATCGGTCGACAATAAGTATCGGTTATTATTATCATTGGCGACAACACCGACACCAACAACAACGGCCACCAAAAATATCGGCAACTATTGGACAGACATCTAATAATAATAATAATTATTATTATTTATCTAACAATTCATTGGTATCACTATTGATTGGACAGTTAGTATTACTACTACCATCCCTACATAGTAGGACCAGTTATACGATGATTGATGAACAGCAACAGGAAGTCATAGACAAATTGCGGTCACTGTCGGCACCCATGTATGTGGCCATCAGTTTCGAAAATCCCGACACCGGGATAGTTAGCGAACAAACCGGTTGTATAGTGTATAGTGAACCGGGAGGTAGTGAACAACAACAAGTGGTACGTGTGGTTACCTGTTGTCACGGTGTTCATCAGCAACTGGTGGTCAACTGTTACGGTAGTCGTATTGGACGTTCAGGTGAAACAGGACGGGTAGTCTATGTTGATCCCCGAGTGGATATGGCATTGATTGAGCTCCGGGTGGCTGTCGTCATCAGCAAAAAACCTAACAAACAAATACTGGTCTTCCAATTGAATCCATTGATACCCGGGTTTGGTTCATCGGTTATGGTCTTCGGTTTTCCGACAACCAGTTATCAGCTATGCTCGGGTATTGTCAGCTGTCCGGCCGCCATATCCTATAATATGGAAACTAGTTATGCAATGATGACAATCCCTGAGCCACCAGCGGGTTATTCGGGAGGCTATGCGTCGGTATACCCAGCGGGTAGGGCCGATATTCAACATACGGCTCCCATATGTTCCGGGTATTCAGGCGGACCATTGATTGACGGCGACACCGGTCAGCTAATTGGTATCAATCATTCAATTGGTTCGGGTATTGCCTGCGCCTATTCAAGCAGTTATATTTCAGGTAATTTATATTATTTATTGTATGTGTATGTGTGTGTGTGTGTGTGTGTGTGTGTGTGTAAGTGTGAGACAGTATGATAATCTATGTGTGTGTGTGAGTGTATGTGTGAGTGTATGTGTGAGTGTATGTGTGAGTTTATGTATGAGTGTATGAATGTATGTGTGAATGTATGTGTGAATGTATATGTATGTATGTGTGTGTATGTAAGTTGAGATATTATGATAATATATGTGTGTGAGTGTATGTGTAAGTGTATATATGTGTGTATGTGTGTAAGTTGAGATAGTATTCAATGAATATGTGTGTGTGTGTAAGTGTGAGATAGTATGTGTATGTGAGTGTGTGTGTCTAATATCTATTACTTATACACATTATATATATATACAGATTTTTTGAAAAATGCCGACACCTGTATGGACAGACAGTTTAATAGACGCCTAACAGAGCACCGGGAGATTAGATTAGGCTATCAAATTAGATACATATTGAATGCCTACTGTTTGGTGAAGAAAATTATGGATACCGGTGCTAAGTATATGACAATTAATTTTATATTAGCTATAATTATAAATTAATTATATATCATATAAGTGCTGAACTAAAACCAACCGATCTGATTGTCAAACTAAATGGACAGCCAATTGAATCGTTGGACCATTTTGTACAGGTGCTCGACCATTGTCCAAACAATTTGGACATACCTGTCCAACTAAAATCATTAATACCCAATCAATCGGCTAACAGACCCGAAAAAATCATACAATTAATGCCAACCGGACTAACCTATGTTTAGACGGGAGTGGGAGGACACCCATCATCACCCCAGTGACTATACCCCTACCCCCCCCCAACTGTCCAGTAGATAGTAGTTTAAAATTATAGCTATTTTTTTTGTTTTTGAATATGTTTTTAAATTAATTAATTAAAAAATAGATTTATTTGCAATTAAATAATTTAAATAAAACTTTATTTATTTATTTATTTATTTATTTTTTTAATTATTTATTTCTATTTTATTTTTTATTAGCAATTAATTAATTAATAAAACAATAATTTAATTAATACATTATATATTAATTATACAATCAAATCAAAAACATTAAAATTATCATTTAATTAATTAATTTATTTTGATAATAAATATGTTATCCATTAAACAATGTATTGTAATTAAAAGGCATTATTATTACAATAGTATTATTGATGTAATAATTATTAGTATTATTATTATCGCATGAAATACTTTTTTTTTAAAAAAATATAATAAAATTTTTATACAAATAACTGAATCATAATTAATAGCAATAATAATAATAATATTAATAAAACTTTTTATATAAACTGTTTTATATTTCATTTCAATAATGATAATAATAATAATAATAATTAGTAGACAACTATGTTATTAAAACACTTATCGTTAACATCGATAAGTATCGGCTATTATATCGGTAATTATTATCACTATTATAGGCAACAACAACACAAACAATGGCCAACAATATCCAGTGGCCGACAGCAGTGGCCATCAATTTTATCTACCGATTCATTATCATCAGCATCACTGATTGGACAGTTATTTCCCGCACCCGTACGGACCACCTATACTATGATTGATGACAACAATCAGGCAGCTATCGACAAGCTATGGTCATTGTCGGCACCCATGTATGTGGCCATCAGTTGCCAGTTCGGTAATCGGGAGGACAGGGAAACTCGTCAGACGGGTTGTATAGTTCAATCACATACTGTCCAGGGACTGGGATGTCGTGTCCGGGTAGTCAGCTGCGCACACGGTGTCTACGATAACCTACAGGTCCGAGCCTACGGTACACGATTGGGACTGGCCGATGATGGCCAATTAGGTCGGGTAGTCTATATGGACCCGAGGCTAGATATGGCACTCATTGAGCTCAGGGTGGTTGCCAACCAACAGCAACAGCAGCAGCCGATTCTCAATATACCGGCCTTTCAGTTGACCGCCGAATCTCTACCCGAATTTGCCGATCCAGTACTGGCCATTGGATTTCCGACCGGACGTAACAATCTGTGTACGGGTATTGTTTGCTGTCCATTAGGACTACCCGACCCCAATGATAGACATTTTACAGCAGCATTGCCGTCTACTACAAGTCCCGATGACCACCACCAACATCGGGCATCGGTAGTAGGTCAGCCGGGAACTGTCGATATTGTACATTCGGCTCCCATTCAACGCGGCTATTCAGGCGGACCGCTATTGTCTACCAACACCGCTAGTGGCCAACTGATCGGTATTAATCATGCAATTTGTATAGATATTGGACACGCCTTTTCTAGCAATTATATTAGCGGTATTATTATTGTTAGTGTGTTTATGTATGTATGTATGTGTGTGAGTGTGTGTGAGTGTGTGTGTGTGAGTTTGTGTGTGTGTGAGTTTGTGTGTGTGTGTGTGTGTGTGTGTGTTTATGTATATATTTATGTATTTATGTGTGTGTATGTGTTTGTATGTATGTCTGTTTATGTATGTATGTTTATGTATGTACAGTATGTGTGTATTTGTTTATGTATGTATGTGTGTGTATATGTTTATGTATGTATGTGTGTGTATGTGATTATGTATGTGTGTGTGTATGTGTTTATGTATGTGTGTCTATATATGTATGTTTCTGTATGTACAGTATGTGTGTATGTGTTTATGTATCTATATGTGTGTGTATGTGTGTACTTATGTGATTACTTTCAAAAAAAATATATATATATTATATATCATATAATATACAATACAATACAGATTTTTTGAAAAGTGCCGACACCTATAAGCAACGGGAGTTTCATAGGCGTCGGTCAGAGCACCGGCCGATTAGATTAGGCTATCAGTTCGTATACAATTTGAATTCAAACTGTTGTCTGGCCGATAAAATTGTCGACACCGGTGCCAGTAGAAAGTTAGGCGACAATTAACTACTACTACTGTATTAACTATTAATTACTAATTTTTTCCGCATATATCTTAAGTGGTTCACTGAAACCCGGCGATCAAATTGTTAGACTAAATGGTCAGCCGATTGAATCAATGGTACATTTACTTCGACTACTGGATAACTGTCCAAACAATCAGCCCATTAGTGTATCGGTAATATCACGACTGGAGGCCAGTAGTCAACCACTAGATGGTCGCCAATCGGCTGATAAATCGATTCAATTGTTGGCAACTGGACTGACCTATGTTTAGATGACGGACACACCCCCTCCCCCACCCCATCCCATCACCAGTTAATACAACCCCCTCTATCATGTACTCTACACTCGGGACAGTTGTTTACAGTATATAATGATTTTTTTTTGTAAAACTATATTTTTTTTGTATATATATATATATAGAGTTAAATATATGTATAAATATTATTATTTTTTATTATTATTAATAATTGATTAGTAAACTATTGTATATTATATTATTATTATTATAATTATTTTTATTATTTCTAATCACGTTTTTAAATAATTAAATATATATATATATAGTATATAACATTTTACAAGTTTAACTAATTAACAATTAATAAATTAATATTATTATTATTATACGTTTGAATTTCAAATCAATACATATATTAATATTTTTTTTAATACATATATTAATAATAATACTAAAACTGATTTATAAAAAAACAAAAACAAAAATACGGGGGTTCTTTACTATAGCTGCCACTTGTTGTTCACGCGATTAATATTTAATACAATTTTAACGATAAATATACTAATGTCGCGTGAATTACAATTAATTTATTATACATTAAATTAGAGAATATTTTCTATCATATGTCTGTATTGAAAGTTATGTCTGTATTGGTATTATGGTATAAATTATTAAAATGTATTAATGTTTGTCCCATTACATAGCCTGGTGTTCGCCTCTCAACCTTAAGCTAATTATAATGGTATTACACAAATGTTAACCTAACCTAACCTAATGTATTAGTATGTATTGATTGATTGATTATATATTGATTATGATTATGAAAAAAATTCACACGTATTATAATAATAATAATTTACTAATTAATTAATTAATTTAAATTTTCATATATTTTTTATTTATTTATTTTTTTGATTTTTAATTGTAATTATTTAAACGCGATTATAAATATTAATTATATTGCAATGTATAATAATACTAATAAAAAACTATTAATATATACATTAACTTTAATTTTTTTTAAATTGTATAATAACTACTGTTAGTAATTGTGATTAATATTAGGAGTGGGTGTGTATCTATATGTGTGTGGGTGGGCGGGGAGGGTATGTTAGTGTAGGGCTGTCCTCTCAATCTCTAATTAAATATTGATGAGTCCGGTTGACATCAATTGAATTGTTTTATCCGATTCATACATCATTGACGTGTCATCTATTAGACTACTAACCGATAGGTTAATCGGCTGATTGTTTGGACAGTCGGCCAGTAGTTGTTGAAGTAAATGATCCATTGATACGATTGACTGTCCATTTAGTTTAACAATTTGATAGTTTGGATCCAATTTAAATTTATGTAAAATTTAATAATAATATTATTAATAATAATCAATGTATGTATGTGTGAGTGGGTGGGCGAGGAGGGTATGTTAGTGTAGGGCTGTCCTCTCTATCTCTCTCATTAAATATTGATGATTCCGGTTGACATCAATTGTATTGTTTTATCCGATTCATACACCAGTGCCGTGTCGTCATCTATTAGACTACTAACCGATAGGTTAATCGGCTGATTGTTTGGACAGTCGGCCAGTAGTTGTTGAAGTAAATGATCCATTGATACGATTGACTGTCCATTTAGTTTACAAATTTGATAGTTTAGGATCCAATTCAAAACTTATGAAAATAATAATAATAATAATAATAATAATAATAATAATAATAATAATAATAATAATAATAATAATAATAATAATAATAATAATAATAATAATAATAATAATAATAATAATAATCAATGTATTAGTTGTGTTTCAAAACACAATTACTTTCCGTCGGTGTCCATAATTTTAGCGGTCAAACACCAGCCATTAGTGAACGTGATATGATAGCCCAGTCTGATCTACCGGTGCTCGACTAGACGTTTTTTGGGACAGTTGGCTATCATCTATCGATAATACCGATAGATTAACCGGTTGATTGTCTGTGACACTGGTCTAGCAATTTAAATAAAATGGTTTCAAAAACGATTCAATCAATTGTCATAATTTAGTTCAACTGTTTCATCGGTCGGTTCCCCAGTAAAGCACTTGTATATCAAATACAAAAAATAATAATTTTAGATTAAAAAATAACATTTTATTAATTAATATATATATATATATATATATATATATATATATATATATATATATTAGATATCTACTGTATTTATATCATTTAATTTATAAAAATAATTTAACTAAAAATTATAAATATTTTATACATATATACTGTATATATTATTAAAATAATTTTTTAACAAAATATAATTGAATGCTTAAAAAATTTTATTATCGAATATTTTTTAATATTTTAAATTTTTTTTAATAATCAGGACCGGGATGAGATTTATTCTTAATTAAAATTTTTAAAAAAATCATTATTATTATACGTTCGACATCCTGTCCATCGCTAACCCGTTTGATGTTTGAATTACCGCATTCATAGGCCCATAGACTTTCGATAGTTGTAACTGCTAATAGTAGAAAACAATGTTTCAAATTAATCATTTTTTTAACTTGTATTTAAAAATATAATTTAAAAATACAAATTTTAAATATTTAATTTATATACTAAGATATAATTATAACAATATATTTATAATCTAAGTATATATTGATAATTATTTTTAGTAATTTTTTCATCTATTTATACTATTTTAATGTTTAGTTAGAAATCATTAATCAATTTAATAATACATTTGTAATTTTAATATAGATATTTAAAATGTAATTTTTTTTAAATCTTTTATAAATATAATTTACTAAAATAGTGTTAAAATTTTTTGGTCAATGTTTTTTTATTAATATTTTATACATATCTATATATATATATAATTGAAATTTAATTTAAATATTATTTTTTATACAATTATAAATAATTTTTAATTATATATACAAATATATCATAATTAATATCTAAATATCTTTTATAAAAAAACAAATGTAATATTATTGCTTATAATATTAAATAAGTATTTAATTAAAATATTATTTAATTTTTTATTTAAAAAATTTAATTTAACTACTAATAAATCAATTTAATAAAACATATTTTTATAAAAAAAATTTACACAAAAATTGCCACATATTTAAATCTAATGTATAATAAAACTCATGATCATATTATAATTAATTAATTTAAAATGTACTAGGATGTATTTTTTTTATTACATAGTTATTTTTTTATAAATTAAATGATTTTTTATTTATTGATTGATTAAGTTTTTAAAAATTATTATAATATTGTAATACTAGATAATAATACTAAATTTTAGTTAAAAAATAATATAAAACAAATGTTATTTTTTAAAGTAATTAATTACATAAAACAAAATTACAAAAAAAAATAAATAAAAACAAAATTATATTTGAAAACAATTTTTATATAAAAATTACACATGTTTTCTATGATTTTTTGAAGTAAAAATTGATTAATTAATTTATCAATTTTAAAATAGTATAAATAGATGTGATTTTTTTAGTCAAATAATCATAAAAATAATACTTATATTAACATTAGTTTATTATATGTTATTATAGATAAATTTTACTTTATTTTTATACACTATACAAAATTTTTTATACATGTATTATTAATTATATTTTCTAAAAAAATTATTAATATTTAAATTTAAAAAAAATGAAAAATATTTTACACTAACAAAAAAATATCTAAATAAAAATCAATTATAAACATTAGATTATATTTATTAAAAAATATTAATATAATACAAATAAAAATAATTTTTTTAAACTGTAGTATCAATAGTAATAAAAAAATTTTTTATTATATTAATAATTAAGTTTAATAAATTGTTTATAAATAAAATAATTTTTTTTATTATTAATTATTCAATAATCCAAAACTAATTGTCTATACTATAGGTATGTATGGTATGTATGGATGGTATGTATTATCGGGTGGACGGGTATGTCCTAAACACTGGTCAGTCCATTAGTTGGCATCAATCGTACGATTTTAGTTGGTTGGAACAGTTGGCTATCATCTATCGATAATAACGATAGATTAACCGGTTGATTGTCTGTGACACTGGTCTAGCAATTTAAATAAAATAGTTTCAAAAACGATTCAATCAATTGTCACCATTTAGTTCAAAAAATTTCATCGATCGGTTTCCAAGTGAAGCACTTGTATATCAAATTCAAAAATAGAAATAAATTTCAAAATTAATGTTTAAATATATTTATATATAATAATAGTTTGAATTTAAATTAATTAAAAAAATACATGTATGTATTAATAATATAAATATATAAGTATTTTGATTGATAACATTAAAGATTTAAAATTAAACAAAAAACATAATAATTATTTTAATGTTTTAATATCTAATAACTTTATATAATTAAAATTATAAAGATATTTTAGCTATATTTATAAATATTATGTAAATAATTTTTTTTACAAAATATAATTAATGCTTAAAAATTTTAAAGATTTTTATTTTATTAATATCGGATAATTTAGTAATACAATTTTTAATATTAAAAATTTTTTGACATTAAAATAAAATATTTTATAATTTTATCATTAAATAATCAGAATAAGGGGATTTAATATATTCTTAATTAAAATTAAGAAAAAACATCATCATCATCAATTATCTATTTTATTTAATACCGGTTTTATCCTTGATCCATTGAACAAATGGTAAAACATTTACATAGACATCTGGTTTTCTATTAATCGGAAGGTAATTACTGACATATGATGCAATACCTTCGACAACCCATTGTCTGGTAGATAGTTGACAGTTAAGAGGACTGCCACTATCGCCCCTTCCGGCAACTTTACTATTGACTCCATTACTGACACATATCTTAATGTTTTCATCGTAATTACTATAATATTTTTTACAAGTGTCCGCGGGTAACATCTCTACAGCAAGTTCTTGTAATATATCTGATGATTTGGTGAATCTGGTCATACCCCAGCCGGTTAACGTACAATTGTCGTCGTTAGCATACTGGCCATTAACTGCTTGTGGTAAACAAATTGGTTGTAAATGATTATCCCTATCATCCAATCGTAATGGTTCGCCTAATTTTATTAAAGCTATATCATTAGATGGATATTGGGCATAATCATAATCATGATGAACTATAATGTTTTTCTATTTATATAGAATAAAATAGATTTAGATAAAAAATAAGACTTAATGTTAAAATGTAAAAAATAGACTATATAAATATGTAAAAAAAATTAAAATTAAACTTACATCATAAGTATATCTAATTCTTCTATCTAGATTTTTTTCTTCACTTCTCTTGTGTTCCCCAAATCTTAGTTCAATATTTCCATAGTTTTGATGATTTTTCTTTACAACACAATGAGCGGCAGTTAAAACCCATTCATCGCTGATTAGACTACCGCCACAACTAAAGTCATGTACTAATTGTCCATTTTCATTTATATAATCTACATAAATGGCTGTCATCCACGGCCAGGCCTTGCGTTCGACATCCTCTCCATCGGCTATCCGTTTGATGGTTGAATTACCGCATTGATAGGCCCATAGACTTTCTACAGTAGTAACTGCTAATAGTAGAAAACTAAGTTTCAAATTAATCATTTTTTAAAAAACTATATATATATATATATAAATTTATAGTTTTATATATATATATATATATATATATATATATATATATATATACTTTATATACTAAGATATAATATAACAATATATTTATAATCTAAGTATATATTGATAATTATTTTAGTTATTGTTTCGTCTATTTATACCATTTGATTGTTTGAATTTTGTAAAACATTAATTTATAATTAATTAGTTAATCATATATATAAAACATTTGTATTTTTTTAAAATTAATATTTAAAAAGTAAATTTTTATTTTTTTTAAATATATTTTACGCAATTCTTTTTAAATTAATTATATAAAACATTTGTTTAATTTTATTAAATTTATATTAAACTTATTTATGAATATGATTTTATTATTAAATTTATTTTATTTTCTAATATTATATTATCATAATTTTTTTAAAAACTTAATCAATCAAATGTAAAAAATGTCAATAAATTTATTTTAAAAAATATGTATGTACAAAAAATGCATCCTAGTACATTGAAATTAAATTAATTACTTTTTTCTAAATTTTAATCTGTGAGTTTTAATAAATTTATATATGTGGAAATTTTTGTAAATTTTCAATTTTATAATAAAAATATGTTTTTTAATGAATTTATTAATTGTCTTATTTTTAATATTTAGTAATAATAAGTACATTTGTTTTAATTTTTTTTAAAAACAATTTAGTATTCAATGAATATATATATATATTTAATAATTATTTTATTTAAAAATAAATTTTATTTACTATAGTCTAGTCAAAAATTAAAAAAAATTCAGTCAATGTTTTTTTTACTAATAATATTTTATACATAATTATATTTAAATTTAAAATATTTTATTTACAATTATAACTAATTTAATTTGTAAATATTTTTTTTATATATAAATCAAATATAATATTATTAGTAATAATATTAAATAAGTATTTTATTAAAAATATTATTTAATTGTTTATTTAGAAAATATAAATTTTCCATTAATAAATCACTTTTAAAACATATTTTTTTTATAAAAAAAAATTTACAAAAAATTATCCACATATTTAAATATATATTTAAAAAAAAACTTAATGATCATATAATAATTATTAATTAATTTTTTTAATACTAGCGATTTATTTTTTTTATATAGTTACTTTTTTAAAATTTAATAATAAATTTTTTGAATTAATTAATTGATTGGTATGAAACTGTTTGTGTGATAATGCTGTCCTCTCTCTCTATAATTAAATATTGATGAGTCCGGTTGACATCAATTGAATTGTTTTATCCGATTCATATACCAGTGCCGTCTCGTCATCTATTAGTCTAACCGATAGGTTAATCGGCTGATTGTTTGGACAGTCGGCCAGTAGTCCAACTAAATGATCCATCGATACGATTGACTGTCCATTTAGTTTACAAATTTGATAGTTGGAATCCAATTCAAAACTTATGTGAAAAAATAATAATAATAATAATTATAATAATAATCAATGTATTAGTAGTCAATTACTTTCCGTCGGTGTCCATAATTTTAGCGGTCAAACACATGAAGCTATTAGTGTACGTAATATGATAGCCCAGTCTGATCTCCCGGTGCTCGGCTAGACGTCTCTGAAACTGTCGTTTCTTACTTATGTCGGCCCTAATCATAAAATCTATGTTTGTTTTTTTTATATGAAAAAATTATAGTAAAAAATTTAAATTAAAAAATCTTTTAGTTTATATTAAGAAATATATATATATTTTAAAACAACACATACACACACACACACACACACATTGTTTGTGTTGACTATAACCAATTGTTTCCCTCGGACAACATGTTGACAGGTAATTATTTTTATGTATGTATTATCAGCTGATGATTGTTGTCTATTAACTATACAACCCGTAGCCCCCGATCGCCACCTAAAATAATCCTAACATACATGGGCTGTACAGCTATAGCTAGCCGTTCAATGACTTCCTGCTGCAGGTGCTGGTGGTGGTGGTCATCAATAATCATTAACCCGGTTCGCAATGGTGTTGATGTTGGTGTTGGTGGTGGGGATAGGGATTTAAATAACTGTCCTAACAATGCTGATGATGAACGGGTAGATAAACTATTAGGTAGTGTCTGTCTATTTGTTGCTATGATTTGTTGGTGTCGGTATCGGTGCCGGTGTTGTCGACAATAATAATTGCCGACAACTACTACTCCAACTACTATACCAACCCTTGCTATCATTAGTCGACTTTTAGGCTGTTCTTTACTATAGCTGCCACTTGTTGTTCACGCGATTAATATTTAATACAATTTTAACGATAAATATACTAATGTTGCGTGAATTACAATTAATTTTTATTGTAAATAAATGTTAAATTAAAAAAATTTTCTACATAACAAATGTTATTAAATTAATTAGGTTAGGTTAAGATAACATTTCTGTAATACCATTATAATTAGGTTAAGGTTGCGGATCGAACACCAGGTTAGGTAACGGAGCGAACACTAATACATTAGATTAGGTTAAGTTAACATTTGTGTAATACCATTATAATTAGGTTAAGGTTGCGGATCGAACACCAGGTTAGGTAACGGAGCGAACACTAATACATTAGATTAGGTTATGTTAACATTTGTGTAATACCATTATAATTAGGTTAAGGTTGCGATGCGAACACCAGGTTATGTAATGGGACAAACACTAATACTTTTTAATAATTTATACCATAATACCAATACAGACATAACTTTCAAGACAGACATATGATAGAAAATATTCTCTAATTTAATGTATTGTGTTGTGTTGCCGGTTTTCCTGTCCACTATATGCGCTGATATTCCCGGACCATAGTCGACACACACATCCCCGAGATCCGTCCGCTGATAGATCTCGCCAATGATCGCTTGTTGATAGTCTTAGTAATCCTTAATATCACAGTTAACGCAATAAAGTAATCCGAATAATGGTACACACATTATAATAATTAAAAGTATTGTTTATTGATAATTGATTAAATATAAGTATACATCAGTACATAAAATATAACAATACTGCACTGCCCGGAACTGCTGACTAATGATATGCAAGTTTATGCATAGCAAAGGCCTGCCAGTCCAGGCAGAGCTTTAGCTACTGTTAGAGTTAACTGTTTTAAGTCTAAACTCTATAGCTCTTGAGCTGACCAGTTTAAGTCTTAGCTCAACACTTGAGTGACTTTACAATGAGAAGTACCTCAGTATTTATATTCTTTTGAATCAATAGGTCTTATTGTTTGCAGACGACACCAATGAGTGTCGTGTGCAAACATGCCTTACTTTACAATTTATAAGTTCCCCTCACTTAGACATTACTATATAAATTCCCATTAATAACAAAGACATTACATATAACTACTTAATATTCCCACTAATATTCCCTAATGTTCCCGTTTAACTACAACCCTATTAATAATAGTGTAACAATTTTAGACGGGATAATTCCCGGGTTTACTCGGGTAATTATCCCTTAATAATATAAGTTTAACTTTTTAATCACGTGACTCCTGGTTTGTCCCGTTGGGACTAAAACAGTCATCCCGTTTACAACTTTATTGTATATGGTGTCGGTACCCATCGATAGATGGCAGTACCGGCGCCACAATACATGTACTTCTTTGCCTGACTGTATTATATTGTTTATAATTATAATAACAATAACAATAGCAATAATAATAATAGTTATAATAACAATAATTATCATAATAATAATCAGTATACAAAATAGTATTTACCTTATAAGTATTGTTTACAATGTATTAACAATCAGTATTTATGCGATTAAATATTAAACAATAATTAGTTAATTAAACTTAGTTACAGTATTAGATCACAACACTAGTCACTACCACTTAAACAAACCACTACAATATTATTTATAATGTATTATATGAAAAGTAACAATAAATATTAATTAACAATAACTAATAGTATTTATATTGTATTAAAATATATGTATTATAAACAAAAACTATTACACAGTATTATTATATAAAAAGCCGTAAAATATATAGTATTATTATAGTATTTTTAAGTACAAATTACATGTACAGTATTAATAGTAAATTTAAAAACTTTATCAATATTATCTATTAAATAGTTTTGCATACTATGCAAAACATACATGAGTGTACTGATATAATGCAGTATAATAAATTAATTGTAATTCACGCGACATTAGTATATTTATCGTTAAAATTGTATTAAATATTAATCGCGTGAACAACAAGTGGCAGCTATAGTAAAGAACCCCCATTTTATCTACCCGTCCATCACTATCAGCAACATTGTTAGGACAGTGGTTACCAATCCTGCGAATCGGTTATACAATTATTGAACCGGAAGTTATTGATCGACTAAGGAAACAGTCGGCACCCATGTATGTGGCTGTCATGGGTTGGGACGGTTCCCGTGGAACGGGATGTATAGTAGGTCATCATCTATCGGTTAATAATACGGACACATTTACTGTTCGGGTACTGACCTGTGCGCACGCTGTCTGCCTGCAGCTACCCGTCCAAGTCTACGGTATCCGTATATCAGGCCCGTCGGGTCAAACAGGACGGGTAGTCTTGATGGATCCGGGATTAGATCTGGCACTGGTTGAACTGAGTGTCGATTCAACCGCTAGTATACTAAACTTTCAGTGGCTGCCGACCACTGCCGACGGCGCTTCCGACGGCCAGTTGTTTGGCCAACCAGTCCTGGCGTTCGGGTTTCCCACTGATAGCTACAATCTGTGTACGGGTTTGGTTAGCTGTCCGGCTGGCCAACGGTTTGCTGAAGAAAACTATAGACATTTTGCTGCCTCACGTAATGTTGATCTAACCTCCCAACACCTACACTACCCCATACCGGATCAGCAATCAATAATGGGAGGTCAGAGACAATATCCAGCGGACGGTACGTTCAATATTGAACATACAGCTCAAACAGAGTCAGGCTATTCGGGTGGTCCGCTAATTGATGCCGATTCGGGACAACTGTTGGGTATTAATCATTCAATTGGTGTGAATATAACATTTGCCAGTTCTAGCAATTATATCAATGGTAATAATGTTTTTTTGATTAGTATTTTTTTGTATGCATGTGTGTCTATGTATGTGTGTCTGTGTATGAGTGTGTGTGTGTATTGGGTGTATATGTGTGTATATGTGTGTATATGTGTGTATATGTGTGTATATGTGTGTATATGTGTGTATATGTGTGTATATGTGTGTATATGTGTGTATATGTGTGTATATGTGAATGTGTGTATGTATATGTATGTGTGTATATATGTGTGTATATGTGGATGTGTGTGTATGTATGTGTGTGTGTGTGTGTATGTATTTGTGTGTTAGAGTGTGTGTATGAATGTATGTATACTAGTGTATGTGTATTAATGTATGTGTATTAATGTATGTATACTAGTGTATGTGTATTAATGTATGTGTATTAGTGTATGTATATAAGTGTATGAGTATTACTGTGTGTGTGTGTATGTGTGTGTGTGTATCAATGTACGTGTATGTGTGTGTTAGTGACTTAATGAGTAAAATTTTTATTATTATTAATAATTATGTATTTCAACAAAAAAAAATAATTTCAGATTTATTAGATAAGGCCGACATATGTAAGGACAGACAGTTTCAGAGACGTCGGTTAGAGCACCGACCTATCAGATTGGGCTACGAGTTTGCCTACTATTTTGATTCATGCAGTCTAACCGATAAAATTATCGATACCGACGGCAAGTATGTTATTTAACAAACAAACAATTTTATACATATATATATATAGATATTTTACATACATTTTTGACATACAAGTGCTTCACTGGAACCGACCGATGAAATTGTTGAACTAAATGGACAATTGATTGAATCGTTAGACCATTTCATCCAATTGCTAGACCAGTGTCCAGACAATCAACCGATTAGTCTAACAGTATTATCCATAGAGGATAGCCAACTGTCCCAACCAACCAAAACTGTACGATTGATGCCAACTAATGGACTGACCAGTGTTTAGGACACACACCCGACCACCCGATAATATATACCATCCATACATACCATACATACCTATAGTATAGACAATTAGTTTTTGGATTATTGAATAATTAATAATAAAAATAAATTATTTTATTTATAAACAATATATTTATATTTATTAAACTTAATTTGTTATATAATAATTTTTTTTATTACTATTGATACTACAGTTTAATAAAAATTATTTTTATTTATATTATATTAATATTTTTTTTTAATAAATATAATCTAATGTTTAATAATTGATTTTTATTGAGATATTTTTTTGTTAGTGTAAAATATTTTTCATTTTTTTAATTTAAATATTAATATTTTATTAGAAATTATAATTAATACATGTATAAAAAATTTTTATATAGTGTATAAAAATAATGTAAAATTTATCTATAATAACATATAATAAACTAAAATATATTTTTACTTATTTTACTAAAAAATCACATCTATTTATACTATTTTAAAACTGATAAATTAATTAATCAATTATTTTAAAAAATATATAAATTAGTTAATCACAGAAAACATGTGTAACTCCAATATAAAAATTGTTTTCAAATATAAATTTGTTTTTATTTATTTTTTTGTAATTTTGTTTTATGTAATTAATTACTTTGAAAAAACATTTGTTTTACATTATTTTTTAACTAAAATTTAGTATTATTATATACAGTATTACAATATTATAATAATTTTTAAAAACTTAATCAATCAATAAATAAAAAATAACTATGTAATAAAAAAATACATCCTAGTACATTTTAAATTTCAATTAATTATAATATGATCATGAGTTTTATTATACAGTAGATTTAAATATGTGGCAATTTTTTTGTAAATTTTTTTTTTATAAAAATATGTTTTATTAAATTGATTTATTAGTAGTTAAATTAAATTTTTTAAATAAACAATTAAATAATATTTTTATAAAAATACTTATTTAATATTATTAGCAATGATATTACATTTGTTTTATTATAAAGATATTTACAAATAAATTATGATATAATTGTATATTAAAATTATAAATAATTTACAATATAATATTAAAAATTAATATAAATAAATATTTAAATTATTTATATAGTTATGTATAAAATATTACTAACAAAAAATCATTGACCGAAATATTTTAACAGTATTTTAGTAAATAAATAATAAAATAATTATTAAATATTCATTGATTATTAAATTGTTTTAAATAATTACTAATAATATTAAATAAGTAATTAAAATAATTTTTATGACAAATAATTAATTACTATTAAACATATTTTTATCAAAAAAAATTGAAATTTACTACAAAAAATTGCCACATATTTAAATTGTATTATATTAAAACTCATGATTAAAATTTCAAAAAAGTAATTAATTTATTTTTGAAATGTAATAGGATGCATTTTTTTACATAGTTATTTTTTTAAATAACTTTTTTTATATAACTTAACTTTTTATATTAACAAATGTTAATAAATATAATTAATTAAAAAAGACCTACGTAAATTATATTTATAAAAAACATAAAAAAATTTACATTTTAAATATCTATATTAAAATTACAAATGTTTTATTAAATTGATTAATGACTTCTAACTAAACATTAAAATAGTATAAATAGATGAAAAAATTACTAAAAATAATTATCAATATATACTTAGATTATAAATATATTGTTATAATTATATCTTAGTATATAAATTAAATATTTAAAATTTGTATTTTTAAATTATATTTTTAAATACAAGTTAAAAAAATGATTAATTTGAAACATTGTTTTCTAGTATTAGCAGTTACAACTATCGAAAGTCTATGGGCCTATGAATGCGGTAATTCAAACATCAAACGGGTTAGCGATGGACAGGATGTCGAACGTATGGCCTGGCCGTGGATGACAGCCATGTATAAACTGTATCCTTTAAACAAAAATATAATAAGCAATTTAGGCCAAATAAGTTCAATCGGCAAATATAGAAAAGTTATTGTTGTAGATTTTTCGTGTGGCGGTAGTCTAATTAATCATGAATGGGTTCTGACTGCCGCTCATTGTGTCGTAACTGAAGATAATCTAAAATATAGAAAAGTTGAACTAAGATTTGGCGAACACAATATAAGTGAAGTGAACAATCCATATAGACGAAGTAGATTTGTTTACGATGTAAATTTATTATATATTTTATTTTTGTACATTTTACACTTTAATATATTATGTTTTTTTTTGTTTAATTTATATTATTCTATATCTCATTTTTTTTTTAAAAAAAAATAGAATGACATAATTGTTCATCCTGATTATGATATAACAACTATATCTAATGATATAGCATTACTAAAATTAGACAAACCATTACGCTTGGATGATGTGGATAATCATTTACAACCAATTTGTTTGCCACCTACATATGGAAAGTATGCTAACAACAATTGTACGTTAACTGGTTGGGGTCGGACCAAAAATACCGAAGAATCAGAAATATTGCAAGAACTTGATGTTACGATTTTAACAGAAAACCAATGTAAATCAAAATCTACTACATCTGATTACGATGAAAATTTGCGATTGTGTGTCGAAAATGATGGCAATCGTAGATTTGCCGGACCGGGCGATAGTGGCGGACCCTTAAACTGTCAACTAGCCAGCAGAGCCTGGGTTGTCGAAGGTATTGCATCGTATATAAGTAGTAATGAAACAATTAATAGAAAACCAGATGTTTATACTAAAGTTTTACCATATGTTCATTGGATTAAAACTATAACCGGTATTAAATAATAATGATTTTTTTTTTTAAATTTTAATTAAGAATAAATCTCATCCCGGTCCTGATTATTAAAAAAATTTAAAAATATTAAAAAATATTCGATAATAAAATTTTTTAAGCATTCAATTATATTTTGTTAAAAAACTATTTTAATAATATATACAGTATATATGTATAAAATATTTATAATTTTTAGTTAAATTATTTTTATAAATTAAATGATATAAATACAGTAGATATCTAATATATATATATATATATATTAATTAAGAATATACTTAATGTTATTTTTTAATCTAAAATTATTTTTTTTTGTATTTGATATACAAGTGCTTTACTGGGGAACCGATCGATGAAATTGTTTGAAACTAAATGGTGACAATTGATTGAATCGCTTTTAAAACCATTTCATTTGAATTGCTAGACCAGTGTCTCAGACAATCAAACGGTTAGTCTATTGGTATTATCCAATAGATGATAGCCAACTGTCCCAAAAAAACGTCTAGTCGAGCACCGGGAGATCGGACTGGGCTATCATATCGCGTACTCTAATGGCTTCATGTGTTTGTCCGCTAAAATTATGGACACCGACGTAAAGTAATTGTATTTTCAAACACAACTAATACATTGATTATTATTATTATTATTTTCATAAGTTTTGAATTGGATCCCCAACTATCAAATTTGTAAACTAAATGGACAGTCAATCGTATCGATGGATCATTTACTTCAACAACTACTGGCCGACTGTCCAAACAATCAGCCGATTAACCAATCGGTTAGTAGTCTAATAGATGACGACACGGCACTGGTGTATGAATCGGATAAAACAATTCAATTGATGTCAACCGGAATCATCAATATTTAATGAGAGAGATAGAGAGGACAGCCCTACACTAACATACCCTCCCCGCCCACCCACACACACATACATACATACACACCCACTCCTAATATTAATCGCAATAACTAACAGTAGTTATTATACAATTAAAAAATAATTAAAGTTAATGTATATATTAATAGTTTTTTATTAGTATTATTATACATTACAATATAATTAATATTTATAATCGCGTTTAAATAATTACAATTAATAATTTTAAAAAATATAAAAATTTAAATAAATTATTTAATTAATTAATTAATTAGCAATCAGTAAATTAATAGTATTATAATTATAATTAAAATTTGAATTTCTAACTATATTTTTAATAATCAATATATTCATAAAAAATCAAAAAAATAAAATAATAATATTGTTTTCAATGATTATAAATAGGAAACAACTGATGATTGCATGTGTCGGCGGATATTATTATTATTGTCGACAACAACACCCACACCCATACCTACACCCATACCTACACCCATATCATCGACAACAACAGCGACAACAAATCATTGGACAGTCATCTACTAATAGTTTATCTACCCGTCCCTTATCATCATCACTATCAGCAACATTGTTAGGACAGTGGTTACCAATCCTGCGAATCGGTTATACAATTATTGAACCGGAAGATATTGATCGACTAAGGAAACAGTCGGCACCCATGTATGTGGCTGTCATGGGTTGGGACGGTTCCCGTGGAACGGGATGTATAGTAGGCCATCATCATCACCGATCGGTTATGAATACGGACACATTTACTGTTCGGGTACTGACCTGTGCGCACGCTGTCTGCCTGCAGCTACCCGTCCAGGTCTACGGTATCCGTATATCTGGCCCGACTGGTCAAACAGGACGGGTAGTCCTGATGGATCCGGGACTAGATCTGGCACTGGTCGAGATCAGTGTCGATTCAGCCGCTAGTATACTAAACTTTCAGTGGCTGCCGACCACTGCCGACGGCGCTTTCGACGGCCAGTTGTTTGGCCAACCAGTCCTGGCGTTCGGGTTTCCCACTGATAGCTACAATCTGTGTACGGGTTTGGTTAGCTGTCCGGCTGGCCAACGGTTTGCTGAAGAAAACTATAGACATTTTGCTGCCGCACGTCATGTTGATCTAACCTCCCAACACCTACACTACCCCATACCGGATCAGCAGTCATGTGTGTGTGCATATGTGAATGTGTGTGTGTGTGTGTATGTACAGTATGTTTATTAATGTATGTGTATTAATGTATGTGTATTATTGTATGTGTATTATTGTATGTGAATTATTGTATGTGAATTATTGTATGTGTATTATTGTATGTGTATTATTGTATGTATATACTGTAAGTGTATGAGTATTACTGTATGTGTGTATGTCTATGTATGTATGTGTGTATGTATGTGTGTGTATGTGTGTGTATGTATGTGTATATGTGTGTACATGTATGTGTGTGTGTTTGTGTGTTTATATGTACGTGTACGTGTATGTATGTGTGTGTATATGTGAATGTGTGTGTGTGTTAGTGACTGAGTATTATTATTAACTATTATATTTCAACAAAAAAATAATTTCAGATTTATTAGAAAAGGCCGACATATTTAATGACAGACAATTTCAGAGACGTCGGTTAGAGCACCGGCCTATCAGATTGGGCTACGAGTTTGCCTACTATTTTGATTCATGCAGTCTAACCGATAAAATTATCGATACCGACGGCAAGTATGTTATTTAACAAACAAACAATTTTATACATATATATATATAGATATTTTACATACATTTTTGACATACAAGTGCTTCACTGGAACCGACCGATGAAATTGTTGAACTAAATGGACAATTGATTGAATCGTTAGACCATTTCATCCAATTGTTAGACCAATGTCCAGACAATCAACCGGTTAGCCTAACAGTATTATCCATAGAGGATAGCCAACTGTCCCAACCAACCAAAACAGCACGATTGATGCCAACTGATGGACTGACCAGTGTTTAAGACATACACCCGACCACCCGATAATACATACCATCCATACATACCATACATACCTATAGTATAGACAATTAGTTTTTGGATTATTGAATAATTAATAATAAAAATAAATTGTTTTATTTATAAATAATATTTATATATTTATTAAACTTAATTTGTTATATAATAAAAAAAAATTATTTCAATTGATACTACAGTTTTAAAAAAATTATTTTTATTTATATTATATTAATATTTTTTTTAATAAATATAATCTAATGTTTATAATTGATTTTTATTGAGATATTTTTTTGTTAGTGTAAAATATTTTTCATTTTTTTTAAATTTAAATATTAATAATTTATTTTTAAAATTATAATTACATGTATAAATAATTTTATATAGTGTATAAAAATAATGTAAAATTTATCTATAATAACATATAATAAACTAAAGTATATTTTTACTTATTTGACTAAAAAAATCACATCTATTTATACTATTTTAAAATTGATAAATTAATTAATCAATTATTTTAAAAAATATATAAATTAGTTAATCACAGAAAACATGTGTAATTTTAATATAAAAATTGTTTTCAAATATAATTTTGTTTTTATTTTTTTTTTGTAATTTTGTTTTTATTTATTTTTGTTGTAATTTTGTTTTATGTAATTAATTACTTTAAAAAATAACATTTGTTTTATATTATTTTTTAACTAAAATTTAGTATTATTATCTAGTATTACAATATTATAAAAATTTTTAAAAACTTAATCAATCAATAAATAAAAAATAACTATGTAATAAAAAAATACATCCTAGTACATTTTAAATTTCAATTAATTATTAATATGATCATGAGTTTTATTATACAGTAGATTTAAATGTGTGGCAATTTTTGTAAATTTTTTTTTGTAAATTTATTTATTAGTAGTTTATTAGTTATTTATTAGTAAACAATTAAGTAATATTTTTATAAAATACTTATTTAATATTATTAGCAATGATATTACAATTGTTTTTTTTTAATATTTAAAAATTAATTATGATATAATTGTACATTAAAATTATAAATAATTTACAATATAATATTAAAAATTAATATAAATAAATATTTAAATTATTTATATAGTTATGTATAAAATATTACTAACAAAAAATCATTGACCAAAATATTTTAACAGTATTTTAGTAAATAAATAATAAAATAATTATTAAATATTCATTGATTATTAAATTAATTTAAAAATTACTAATAATACTAAATAAGTAATTAAAACATTTTCAATATTTTTTGACAAATAATTAATTACTATTAAACATATTTTTATCAAAAAAAAAAATTTAAATTTACTAAATAAAATTGCCACATATTTAAATATATAGTATTAAAACTAATTATTAAAATTTCAAAAAAGTTTCAAATGTAATAGGATGCATTTTTTACATAGTTATTTTTTGAAAAACTTTTTTATATAACTTATAACAAATGTTATAATATAATTAATTAAAAAAGACTTACGTAAAATATAATTTAAAAAAACAAAAAAATTTACATTTTAACTGTCTATATTATAAATGTTTTATATATGATTAACTAATTTATTATTATTTTATAATTGATTACAAAATTCAAACAATCATATGGTATAAATAGAGGAAAAATTTACTAAAATTATTATCAAAATATATACTTAGATTTATATATATTTTATATATAGACATTTATTTATATATTTAAAATTAAAAATTTGTTATACATATATATATTTATATATATATAGTTAAAAATGATTAATTTGAAACTTTGTTTTCTACTAATAGCAGTTACTGTCCAAACTTTGTGGGCCTATGAATGCGGCAATTCAACCATCAAACGGGTTAGCGATGGACAGGATGTCCAACGTATGGCCTGGCCGTGGATGACGTACCTCAAGTCTTTTGGTGACGAATATATCGAAAATGGAATGATATTATCTAATGTATTTACTTGCGGCGGTAGTCTAATCAATGATCAATGGGTTTTAACTGCAGCTCATTGTGTTGTTGATGAAGATAACAGAAATCAGAAATTCCAGATGATTCGAATTAGTTTTGGCGAACACAATATAAAAGATGAAAATAATCCAGATAAAAGAATTAGAATATCTTACTATGTAAATTTTTTATCGTTTAATTAATTATAATTATAATTATTTTCTACTGTATTCTTCTTTAATTAACTAGAATGACATTTTCGTTCATCCTGAGTATAATAGTGAAACTAAATCCAATGATATAGCATTAATAAGATTTCCACCATTACGTTTGGATGATAAAGATAAACATTTACAACCAATTTGTTTGCCACCAACAGTTAATAGTCGGTATGCTAACGGCGCCAATTGTACGTTAACTGGTTGGGGTCGGACGAGATACACCAAAAAATCAGATATATTACAAGAACTTGATGTCAAAGTTTTTCCATATAACGTGTGTAAATCCATATATAATAACAACAATAATTACGATAACAAGAGATTGTGTGTCAAAAATGATGGCTGGAGAAGGTTTGCCGGACCGGGCGATAGTGGCGGACCATTGAACTGTCAACTGTCCAGTAGAGCCTGGGCTGTCGAAGGTATTGCATCGTATATAAGTAGTAATGAAACAATTAATAGAAAGCCAGATGTCTATACTAATGTTTTACCATATGTTCATTGGATCAAAAATATAACCGGAATTAAATAATAATAATAATAATTTTAATTAATTTTAATTAAGAAATAAATCTCCACACCTCCCGGTCCTGATTATTAAGAAAAATTATTTTTTCTATTAATTAATAAAATTATTTCCAAATGTCTAAATTTATTTTTTTAAACAAATATTTAAAAATATTTCGAAAATAAAATTCAATTATTTTTAAGCATTCAATTATTTAAATAATATACAGTATATTTAAAATATTTTTATAATTTAATAGACATCTATAAAAACTTATTAGCTATTAAACATTAAAATAATTATTAATTTAGATTTTCAATCATAGATTTTGCTATTATTAATACATACATGTATTTTTTTAAGTAATTTAAATTCAAACTATTATTATATATAAATATATTTAAACATTAATTTTGAAATTTATTTCTATTTTTGAATTTGATATACAAGTGCTTTACTGGGGAACCGACCGATGAAACTGTTGAACTAAATGGTGACAATTGATTGAATCAGTTTTGAAATCATTTTATTTAAATTGCTAGACCAGTGTCACAGACAATCAACCGGTTAGTCTAACGGTATTATCCAATAGATGATAGCCAACTGTACCAAAAAAACGTCTAGTCGAGCACCGGTAGATCAGACTGGGCTATCATATCACGTACACTAATGGCTTCATGTGTTTGACCTCAAAAATTATAGACACCGACGGAAACTAATACATTGATTATTATTATTAAAAATAATAATTTTTTCCCATAAGTTTTGAATTGGATCCCAAACTATCAAATTTGTAAACTAAATGGACAGTCAATCGTATCAATGGATCATTTACTTCAACAACTACTGGCCGACTGTCCCAAACAATCAGCCGATTAACCTATCGGTTAGTAGTCTAATAGATGACGACACGGCACTGGTGTATGTATCGGATAAAACAATTCAATTGATGTCAACCGGACTCATCAATATTTAATTAGAAATAGAGAGGACAGCCCTACACCACCAACACTAACATACCCTCCCCGCCCACCCACATACACACCCACTCCTAATATTAATCACAATTGCTAACAGTAGTTATTATACAATTAAAACATAATTAAAGTTAATGTATATATTAATAGTTTTTTATTAGTATTATTATTATATAATATAATTAATATTTATAATCGCGTTTAAATAATTACAATTAATAATCAAAAAATAAAATAAAAAATTATGATTTAATTAACAATTAATAAATTAATAGTATTATTATTAAACGTTTGAATTTCTAAACTATATATTTTCAACCATCAAAATAATAAAAAAAATATAATAATAATAATGTTTTCAATGATTATAAATAGGAAACAAATGATGATTGCAAGTGTTGGCGGATATTATTATTATTATTATTATTGTCGACAACAACGCCCACACCAACACCCATATCATAGACAACAGCGACAACAAATCATTGGACAGTCATCCACTAATATTTTATCTACCCGTCCCTTATCATCATCACTAACAGCAACATTGTTAGGACAGTGGTTACCAATCCTGCGAATCGGTTATACAACTATTGAACCGGAAGTTATTGATCGACTAAGAAAACAGTCGGCACCCATGTATGTGGCTGTCATGGGTTGGGACGGTTCCCGTGGAACGGGATGTATAGTAGGTCATCATCTATCGGTTAATAACACATTTACGGTACGTGTACTGACCTGTGCGCACGCTGTCTGCCTGCAGCTACCCGTCCAGGTCTACGGTATCCGTATATCTGGCCCGACTGGTCAAACAGGACGGGTAGTCGTGATGGATCCGGGATTAGATCTGGCACTGGTTGAACTCAGTGTCGATTCAACCGCTAGTATACTAGACTTTCAGTGGTTGCCGACCACTGCCGACGGCGCTTCCGACGGCCAGTTGTTTGGCCAACCAGTCCTGGCGTTCGGGTTTCCCACTGATAGCTACAATCTGTGTACGGGTTTGGTTAGCTGTCCGGCTGGCCAACGGTTTGCTGAAGAAAACTATAGACATTTTGCTGCCGCACGTCATGTTGATCTAACCTCCCAATACCTACACTACCCCATACCGGATCAGCAGTCAATAATGGGAGGTCAGGGACAATATCCAGCGGACGGTACGTTCAATATTGAACATACAGCTCAAACAGAGTCGGGCTATTCGGGTGGTCCGCTAATTGATGCCGATTCGGGACAACTGTTGGGTATTAATCATTCAATTGGTGTGAATATAACATTTGCCAGTTCTAGCAATTATATCAATGGTATGTATGTATATTTCTTTATGTATTTTATGTATGTGTGTGTGTGTGTGTGTGTATTTGTGTGTGTATTTGTGTGTGTATTTGTGTGTGTATTTGTGTGTGTATTTGTGTGTGTATTTGTGTGTGTATTTGTGTGTGTATTTGTGTGTGTATATGTGTATTTATGTATGTGTGTGTGTGTGTGTGTGTGTGTGTGTGTGTATGTATGTGTGTGTGTATGTATGTGTTTGTGTGTATGTATGTGTGTGTATGTATGTGTGTGTATAAGTGAATGTGTGTGTATGTATGTATGTATGTATGTATGTGTGTGTGCATATGTGAATGTGTGTGTGTATGTACAGTATGTGTATTATTGTATGTGTATTATTGAATGTGTATTATTTTATGTATATACTGTAAGTGTATGAGTATTACTGTGTGTGTGTATGTATATCAATGTGTGTGTGTGTTAGTGACTTAATGAGTAAAATTTTTATTATTATTATTAATTATGTATTTCAACAACAAAAAATAATTTCAGATTTATTAGATAAGGCCGACATATGTAAGGACAGACAGTTTCAGAGACGTCGGTTAGAGCACCGGCCTATCAGATTGGGCGTCGAGTTTGCCTACTATTTTGATTCATGCAGTCTTACCGATAAAATTATCGATACCGACGGCAAGTATGTTATTTAACAAACAAACAATTTTATACATATTTTACATACATTTTTGACATACAAGTGCTTCACTGGAACCGACCGATGAAATTGTTGAACTAAATGGACAATTGATTGAATCGTTAGACCATTTCATCCAATTGCTTGACCAGTGCCCAGACAATCAACCGGTTAGTCTAACAGTATTATCCATAGAGGATAGCCAACTGTCCCAACCAACCAAAATCGTACGATTGATGCCAACTAATGGACTGACCAGTGTTTAGGACACACACCCGACCACCCGATAATATATACCATCCATACATACCATACATACCTATAGTATAGACAATTAGTTTATAAATTATTGAATAATTAATAATAAAAATAAATTATTTTATTTATAAACAATATATTTATATTTATTAAACTTAATTTGTTATATAATAAAAAAAATTTATTACTATTGATAATACAGTTTTAAAAAAATTATTTTTATTTATATTATATTAATATTTTTTTTTAATAAATATAATCTAATGTTTATAATTGATTTTTATTGAGATATTTTTTTGTTAGTGTAAAATATTTTTCATTATTTTTTTTAAATTTAAATATTAATAATTTATTTGTTGTAAATTATAATTAATAGATGTATAATAAAATTTTTTTATATAGTGTATAAAAATAATATAAAATTTATCTATAATAGCATATAATAAACTAAAATATATTTTTACTTATTTGACTAAAAAAATCACATCTATTTATACTATTTTAAAATTGATAAATTAATTAATCAATTTTTTCTTAAAAAAAATATATAAATTAGTTAATCATTGAAAAACATGTGTAATTTTAATATCAAAAATTGTTTTCAAATATAATTTTGTTTTTATTTATTTTTTTTTTTTTGTAATTTTGTTTTATGTAATTAATTACTTTGAAAAAACATTTGTTTTACATTATTTTTTAACTAAAATTTAGTATTATTATCTACAGTATTATAATATTATAATAATTTTTAAAAACTTAATCAATCAATAAATAAAAAATCATTTTTATTTATAAAAAAATACACCCTAGTACATTTTAAATTAATTAATTATTATATGATCATGAGTTTTATTATACAGTAGATTTAAATATGTGGCAATTTTTTTATAAATTTTTTTTTATAAAAATATGTTTTATTAAATTGATTTATTAGTAGTTAAATTAAATTTTTTAAATAATCAATTAAATTATTACTTATTTAATATTATTAGCAATGATATTACATTTGTTTTTTTATAGATATTTACAAATAAATTATGATATAATTGTATATAAAATTAAAAATTATTTATATTATAAAATAATAATAGAAATAAATATTTAAATTAAATTCCAATTATTTATATAATTATGTATAAAATATTATTAACAAAAAATCATTGACCAAAAAATTTTAACACTATTTAAGTAAATAATTAATAAAATAATTATTAAATATAATATATATTCATTGAATATTAAATTGTTTTAAAATATTACTAATAATATTAGATAAGTAATTAAAACATTAAATATTTTTTGTGACAAATAATTAATTACTATTAAACATATTTTTATCAAAAAAAATTGCCACATATTTAAATATATAGTATTAAAACTCATGATTAAAATTTCAAAAAAGTAATTAATTAATTTTTTTTAAATGTAATAGGATGCATTTTTTTACATAGTTATTTTTTTAAATAACTTTTTTTATATAACTTAACTTTTTATATTAACAAATGTTAATAAATATAATTAATTAAAAAGACCTACGTAAATTATATTTAATAAAAACAAAAAAATTTACATTTTATATATCTATATTAAAAATTACAAATGTTTTATTAAATTGATTAATGACTTCTAACTAAACATTAAAATAGTATAAATAGATGAAAAAATTACTAAAATAATTATCAATATATACTTAGATTATAAATATATAGTTATATCTTAGTATATAAATTAAATATATAAAATTTAAAACTTTGTATTTTTAAATTATATTTTTAAATACAAGTTAAAAAATGATTAATTTGAAACTTTGTTTTCTACTATTAGCAGTTACTACTATCGAAAGTCTATGGGCCTATGAATGCGGTAATTCAACCATCAAACGGGTTAGCGATGGACAGGATGTCCAACGTATGGCCTGGCCGTGGATGACATTTATCCAGTCTATTGCTAGTGAAGTTCATATGGGAAATGGAAGGATTCAAAGCAAGGGATTTAATTGCGGCGGTAGTCTAATCAATGATCAATGGGTTTTGACTGCAGCCCATTGTGTCGTTGATGAAAAAACTAATGTGAAATACAAGAAATATACGCTAACTTTTGGCGAACACAATATAAATGATAAATATAATCCGGATAAAAGAATTAGATTTTCTAACTATGTAAATTTTTTTTTTAAAATAATTTTTTATTAATTTAGATTATAATTATTTTCTTCTTCTATGTTCATAATTTAACTCAGGATAACGTTTTCGTTTATGATGGCTACGATGGAGAAACTGTAACCAATGATATAGCATTAATAAAATTAGACAAGCCATTACGTTTGGACGATCGTGATAAACATTTACAACCAATTTGTTTGCCGCCAACAGTTAATGCCCAGTACGCTAACAACAATTGTACGCTAACTGGTTGGGGTGAGACTCAATCTGGCCAAGCATCTGATATACTACAAGAACTTGATGTCATAATTTTATCACCAAACGTTTGTAAATCCAAATATCAAGGCAAATATTACGATGAAAATACGAAATTGTGTGTCGAAGATGATGGCTTAACTAGATTTTCCGGACATGGCGATAGTGGCGGACCACTTAACTGTCAACTAGCCAGCAGAGCCTGGGTTGTCCAAGGTATTGTTTCGTATACTAGTAAACAGGACTATAGTATAGGTAGAAAAAATTTATTCGATGATACAGTAGAAATTATAGGAACTAAAAGAATCAAACTTCCAGACGTCTATACTAGTGTTGTAGCATATATTCCATGGATTAAAAGAATAACCGGAATGAAATAATGATCATGATGTTTTTTTCTTAATTTTTTTTAATTAAGAAATAAATCTCCACACCTAACGGTACTGATTAAAGCGAAAAAAAAATTATAAAATCTATAAAATCTATAAAATCTATAAAATCTATAAAATCTATAAAATCTATAAAATCTATAAAATCTATAAAATCTATAAAATCTATAAAATCTATAAAATCTATAAAATCTATTTTCTATTAATTAATTTTAATGTTTTTTTTGTTGTTGATATTTTTCTAAATGTTAAAAAAATTGTATTCTAAATTATCCGATTAACAAAAATAAAAATTTTAAGCATTCAATTATATTTTGTATGAAAAAATTATTTTTAGACAATTAGTTTTTAGATTTATTGAATAATTAATATAAATAAAAAATTGTTTTATTTATAAACAGTATATATATATATATATCTTTTAAACTTAATTTGTTATATAATATTGTGTTACTATTGATACTACAATTTAAAAAAAAAATTATTAAATTTTAATTAAATATAATGTTATAAAATAAATATATATTTATTATGTGGTTTTTTTTGGTCCATAAAATTAGATCTAATTTTTTATTATTACAATATTATTACTGTATTATTGTTGTTGTAGTTTATAATCAATTATAATTTGATGTTATATTTCGTGAAATTTTTTATTTTAATTGTTATATTGTATTGATTTAAAACTGTTTACTTAATAATAAGTTATTAATAACTGTTTTTTGTTTGTTTAAAAAAAATAGTTTTAAATTTTAAGTATAAATTATTAGCTAATAGTTAAATAAAAAATAATATTTTTTTTTTATTAGTCAATCAATAGTTTTTTTTGTTTAATACTAAATACATTTATAATAAAATAATTGTATTATTAATACAACAACAACAAAATAATTAAAATAAATAATTAAAAAATGTTTTCAATTATATTAAATAAGAAACAACTGATGATTGCAAGTGTCGGCGGATATTATTATTATCATTATTGGCGACAATACCGACACCGGCAACAAATCATAGGACAGTCGACTAATTGGTTATCTAACGGTTCCCTATCATTGTTTGGACAGTTAGCTCTACCGATGAGAACCAGTAATATGTTGACTCCATTGATCGGACAGGAAGTTATTGAACGGTTAAAAAAAGCGTCGACACCTCTGTATGTGGCCGTCTATACACTCAACAAGTTCACTGGTATATGGGAATGGGGAACTGGATGTATAGTAGTAGTAGCGGCTAATACAGGTGCTGCTGCTGGTGGTGGTGGTGGTAGTTATGTACGAGTGTTGACCTGCGCTCACCTATGCGACAGTCAACTACCGGTAAAAGTTTTAGGTTCGCGAATAAGTAGGACAGGTATACAGGGACGGGTAGTCTATGCTGATCCTCAACTGGATATGGCTGTCGTGGACATACCCGTTGATAATACCGTTGCCCGAAATATAGCCGTCTATCAGTTTACCGACGACTCGTTGTTACCCGACTACGGCTCACCGGTAGTGGCCTTCGGGTTTCCGACAAACGGCTACAATCTATGCTCGGGTATTGTCAGCTGTCCGGCCGGCAAACTGTACGCCAATCAAGACTATAAACATTTTACTGGCCATATTGTTGACGACCAGCAGCAGCAGCCACACCTACCCGACCCGTCAATAGTGGGAGCGGGGAGAGTGGGAGGTATATATCCGCCGGGAACTGTCGATATTCAACACTCGGCACCGACAGAGTCGGGCTATTCGGGCGGACCACTGATTGATGCCGATTCGGGCCAACTGTTGGGCATTAATCATGCAGTCGGTGAATTAGTTACATTTGCCAGTTCAAGCAATTATATCAATGGTATGTGTGTTTGTATGTGTGTTTGTATGTGTGTTTGTATGTGTGTTTGTATGTGTGTTTGTATGTGTTTTTGTATGTGTGTTTGTATGTGTTTTTGTATGTGTGTTTGTATGTGTGTTTGTATGTGTGTTTGTATGTGTTTTTGTATGTGTGTTTGTATGTGTGTTTGTATGTGTGTTTGTATGTGTGTTTGTATGTGTGTTTGTATGTGTGTTTGTATGTGTGTTTGTATGTGTGTTTGTATGTGTGTTTGTATGTGTGTTTGTATGTGTGTTTGTATGTGTGTTTGTATGTGTGTCTGTATGTGTGTCTGTATGTGTGTCTGTATGTGTGTCTGTATGTGTGTCTGTATGTGTGTCTGTATGTGTGTCTGTATGTGTGTCTGTATGTGTGTCTGTATGTGTGTCTGTATGTGTGTTTGTATGTGTGTGTTTGTATGTGTTTGTTTGTATGTGTGTGTTTGTATATGTGTGTTTGTATGTCTTTGTTTGTATGTGTGTGTTTGTATGTGTGTATGTATGTGTTTGTGTGTGATTATATCTGTGTTTGTGTGTTGGTCTATATGTCTGTGTGTGTGTGTGTGTGTCTGTATGTGTGTCTGTATCTATGTCTGTATGTGTGTCTGTATGTGTGTTTGTTTGTGTGTGTGTGTATGTGTGTGTGTGTGTAAATACTTTAAATTATTATTTATATTTATTAATTATGTATTTCAACAAAAAATTTAAAATTTCAGATTTATTGAAAAAGGCCGACATATGTAAGGACAGTCAGTTTCAGAGACGTCGGTCAGAGCACCGGCCTATCAGATTGGGCGTCGAGTTGGCCTTCTATTCTAATTCATGCAGTGTGACCGATAAAATTTTCAATTTTCGCGGCAAGTATGTTAACAAAACAAATTTATATATACATATATATATATCTGTGTGTGTGTATGTGTGTGTATGTGTGTGTATGTGTGTGTGTGTGTGTATGTGTGTGTATGTGTGTGTATGTGTGTGTGTATGTGTGTGTATGTGTGTGTATGTGTGTGTATGTGTGTGTATGTGTGAGTATGTGTGTGTATGTGTGTGTATGTATGTGTGTGCGTGTGTGTATGTGTGTATGTGTGTTTGTGTGTGTGTGTATGTGTGTGTATGTATGTGTGCGTATATATGTGTATTTGTATGTTTGATTGTGTATGTTTGTATGTCTATGTTTGTATGTGTATGTTTTTATGTGTGTGTTTGTATATATACTTTAATTGTATGGTTTTTTTTTGTCGGACATACAAGTGCTTCACTGGAACCGACCGATCAAATAGTTCAACTAAATGGCCAAATGATTGATTCGTTAGACTATTTTCGTGAATTGCTTGACAAGTGCCCAGACAATCAACCCATCAGTCTATTGGCACTATCGATAATACCCGACACTAATGATGACCAACAACCATACAAAACCATAAGATTGATTCAAACAGGACTAACCTATGTCTAAGACACACCCACACACCTGATCACAAGTTAATATATACAGTACATACCCTATCCCTACAAACATAAACTCTAAAGACATAATAGTTATGATAATTATGATATGATTTTTTTGGTTAATAATATTATAGCTATTTATTATAGTATTATTACTGTATTGTTATTGAAATCAATAAATTTATTTTTTAGTTACAATTACGTGAAATTTTTTTTTTAGTTATATTGTTTAATGTTTATCTAATTGATTTAAATATGTATTTACTAATTAAATTAATTGAAAAAAAATTATTAACGTTATTACAAAAAAATAGTTAAATTTAAAAAAAAAACTTTCTATTAGTCAATACATTCAATCAATAGTTTTTGTTTTGTTTTGTTTAATACTAAATATATTATTAATACAATAATTACATTAATAATAATAATAATAATAAAAATAATTAAAAAAAACTAATTTATCAAAAAAAAAAAATAATAATAAAAATGTTTTCAACGATATTAACAAAAAAACAACTAATGATAGCAACTATTGGTTATTATTGTTATTATAATAATAATTATCTTAATTATTGTCGACAACACCGACAACACCGACACCGAAACTACCGATACCGGCAAATCATAAACAGCGGACAGACATCTAATAGTTTATCTACCCGTTCATCAACCATATCATCATTGTTTGGACAGTTATATCCATACCGATTGCGTACCGGTTTTACCCTATTTGATGACCAGATAGTTATCGATCGGTTAGACAGATTAGCGGCACCCCTGTATGTGGCCGTACTGTTTACCAATATGGATACTGGTGAACCCTATCAGGGAACTGGTTGTATAGTTCAATCGGATAAGTTAAGCACCGGTAGTAGTCATATACGTGTACGAGTGCTAACCTGTGCTCATGTTGTCGACAGTCAACTAGTGGTCGATGTTTTTGGCACCCGTCTGGGCCCAACTGGCCAACCCGGTCGGGTAGTCTATRTTGAACCTGGACTTGATTTGGCTGTCATAGACCTTATGGTTAGCACTGCCGCTAATATACCGACCTTTCAATTGACCGGACAGTCGCCAACAGCGGTACCCGAATTCGGTTCATCGGTCATGTCGTTCGGTTTTCCCGACGATTACTACAGTCTATGTACGGGTATTGTCGGCTGTCCGGCTGGCCAGACAAATATCATGGAAAACTATGGATACCTGGCTATGATTCAGCACCCGATTGTTGACCCACCGGTACCACCGATAATAACGGGTGTATACTCAGGTCAATACCCGGCTGGTAGTGTCGACATTCAACACTCGGCTTCGGGATATTCGGGATTTTCTGGCGGACCACTAGTTTGCGCCGATAGTAGTGGTGWTGGTATACCTAACCTGATGGGTATAAACCATACGATTAGCCAGAGTATAGGTTATGCCGTTTCAAGCAATTATATCAYTGGTAATAATATKTWTCATATATTTTGTAGTTTTTATATTTAATTAATTAATTATGTATTTAATTAATTAATTAATTATRTATTTAATTAATTAATTAATTATGTAATTAATTAATTAATTATGTATTTAATTAATTAATTAATTATGTAATTAATTMATTAATTATGTATTTAATTAATTATGTATTTAATTATGTATTTAATTATGTATTTAATTATGTATTTAATTAATTAATTATGTAATTAATTTWATTATGTATTYAATTAWTTATGTATTAATATTTTATTACAAATGTATAGATGTATTAAAACAGGCAGACATTGATAAGGACAGACAGTTAGAGAGACGTCGGTTAGAGCACCGGCCTATCAGATTGGGCTATGCTTTGCCTACTATTTTGATTCATGCAGTCTGACCGATAAAATTTTGGATACCGGAGCCGACGGCAAGTATGTCGTCTMCTTAACTATTAATTAATTAATTATTAATTGCTATTTAGTTATAGTATTATTATTAGGTGTTTGAATATTATGTGTGTGTTTTGAGTAGTAATGTTAGGCATAATTATTAGTGATTTTTTATATATAAATAGTTTAATATTTAAAATAATTATTTAGAAAAACAACTAAAAATTTACTGTATTTAGAAATAGGTATCAAAATTAAAAATAATAATTATTATTATAATAATAATTATTAATTAGATTTTATATTTAGTTATATTTTAATCAAATACTACTAAAAAATATTTCATATGCTATAATCAAATACAGTATTAATAATAATAGGATAATAATAATAATACTAATTAAAAAACTTTTTGATTTTAGTATTTAATGCAAAAAAAACTTTTAGTAATTTATATTAATTATTATTATTATTTTGTTATTGTTTTTTGAAATCATATATAAAAAAAGTTCATCACTTGAAAGGACGGATGAAATTGTTGGACTAAACGGTCAGTTCATTGAATCGTTAGACCATTTCAGTGAATTGTTAGACCAGTTACCAGACAATCAACCGGTCGTCCTAATGGTTCAGACGATACTACCCGGTGTTGAACTGGACGAACCATTCAAAACCATACAATTGATTCAAACAGGACTGACCAGTGTTTGAAAACAGACCATCAGTTAATACCCTTACATACCATACCCATACATACCATACCCTTACATACCATACCCTTACATACCATACCCTTACATAGTATAGCAATTTAATTATGATTTTAATTAACATATATTTGTTTGTTGTTATTAATGTTAATAACAATTAGAAATTAAAAAAAAGTTTTTATATATTTTTGTATTAATTATTATAACTATTATTATAAAGTATTTATTATTATACAATAAATTATATAATATTTTTTTTGTAATACTATAATAAATATAGTAATCATATATTATATACGATATTATAATTAATTAATAAAAAATAATAATAAATTATAATTAGTGTATTAAGTATTTAGTGTTTTATTATTTTTATTTATTTAGAAATATTATATTATTATTTATTATCATTATTAATAATAATTATTAGATTTAAAATTATTAATTAATAAGATTTTTGATTTATTTAGTAAATTAAAAAAATAAATAAATCATTAGTTTTTTCTGGTTAAATATTAAAATCTAATATTAACCAGCTGAGAATGCTTTAAAAGCATTTCCACACGAATTCCTTAACTTAAAAAGGAAAAAAAATTTTAAAAAATAAAAAACAAGTTGAGAATGCTTCAAAAGCATTCTCATACGATCTCCTTAACTTAAAAAAGAAAAAAACCAAAAAAAATCAAAAAAAATTTTGTAGCTGAGCCTGGATTCGAACCTATGTCCTCGTGGGACAGACAGACAGACGGACAGACTTTTAGAATGCATATACGTATTCCTTTCAGGAATTCGTGAAAATTTATTATAATATTTATATGAATCAGTTAACTATTAATAATATTATATATATACAGTTATAGTTGTATTGTATTATATGAGTCATATTATATTTTTCATATTTAAAAATTATATCAATTTTTTGTCATATAATATGACTAAAATTGATATAATTTTTTAAATACTTATAAAACCAGTTAAGAATGCTAGAAAGCATTATCAGAAAAAAAACTTTGACGTTATGAAATCTTATGTTCGCAAAGAAATAACTATTTATAAAAAATAAAAAACTCATTTATATAAAATTTAAATTTTATTTAAAAAATCGAATATTAAATACAAAATTATTATTTTTAATAATGATATAATAAATGTAATACATATAATTTATAAAACATCGTAAATATCTTGATTTGGTTCAACGCATTTTGTGCAAACAAAGTTGCTTTGTATTGTGTTATTATCCGGTTGACAATTTTGATGAAATCTTTCACCACATTGTATACAGCGAATCATATTATTATTAAATGGTTTTGAACACAAACAATGTAGAGTTGGTATTGTTATGTATTTGGATTTTGCTTCGGTATTTCGTGTAATTGGCAATGAAATTTGTCCAGATTCATACCATCTTTGTAATCTTTGACGCAAATTGAAACTATTTTCAGTTAGTCTTCTTGAACTTGGATTAATACCAGAAATATTTAATGCCATATTCATTAAAGCATGAACTCCACAATCATTAGAATTTGGCTGTTTGGTTACTCGCCAAAATTGATAATTTAATTGAGGTGTTATGTCGAGTTGTCTTATATGTGCACTTGCGACGCGTACAATTAATTCGCTAACTGTTAATGCGTTAACCGAATCATAAACATTACAAGTAATTGTTGTAGATGATGTATATTGAACATTGATGTAAATCCAATGATTACTAGTGTTAACAATATGATGTAATTCTTGTCCAACATTAGTAAAATAATACTTAGGTTTTAAATATGGATAATTTTGTTGAAACCGATAAGAAGTTTGAAAATTGAGTAAATTATTATTATTTGCTTGATTATTAAAAATGACAGCCATTCCATTTGTAATTAGTGAATCATTTAGCCAACCACTGTTTTCCGATCCATCAAGTAATCTTATATCACCTGTTACAAGATCTTCATGTAAATAATTATAATTTGTCTTTGAAAGCCAAATATTATGATGAATTTGATAATCTTGTAATTGTGTGTGCTTCTCTATATCTTCTTGAGATAGTCTTAAAGCAGTTACTTTTGTATCTTTCACTTTCAAATAATCTTCAATTGTTTCTTGAGATAGTTTTGTAAGAAGTACTGAAGACTCTTTGATATCATCTAATTGAATGTCTTTAAATCTAGCAACAAAATGACTTTGTTGTGATACTGGTTTTAATGTAGTGTTAAGATCATTTTCTTCATTATTTGATGAGTAACTTGATTGAGAACTAACGTCAGTAACACATTTGTTATCGCAAACATCTATCCAAAATGGTATGTGATAGCTTCCATAAAAGTCATACTGATAGATTTTATCATTTTTATTACTTGTAAAAATATAATCAATTTGATTTCTATAATTAGTTGTAACCATATCATCTGGTATTAAATATGTCCAATTATATGTTTTATTAGTTAAATTAACTAATGTTTGTCCGCTTTTAGTTGAGTAGTCAATATTGAAATCGCCACATATTATTATATGTTGAAAATTAGATGTCTTATTAGCAATATTATTAAGTATATTTTTGAGCGTATCAAATGGAAGACGAGATGATAAATACACTCCAACAACTGCAATGTTATTAAATTTGACACAAGAGATTTCATAATGCCAAATGGATTTGTCATTACTATCCATGAGTGAGCATACAACTGCTGCATTAATAGACTTCTTAGCATATATAGCAACGCCACCATTTGCAATTGTAGAAGTATCTGAATAAACATGGCTTATAGCTGACAGTTCACCAATATTAGGTAATAAATTGTATTGACTTTTTATTCGTGTTTCTACTAAAATTAACAAATCAGATGCCAATATGTTGTCATCACTTTGTAAATCTAAATGGTTTTTTCTAAATGACTGAACATTTAGGTAAGAAATTGCATAATCATTTCGTACTGATAGAGATAAAGGTTTAATTATTAATTGAAGTTTTGCTTCTGTTTGTAATCTTTGTATTTCATTGAAGATTTCTCTATCACTTTGTTTTGGCTTCAGATTTTCAATTAATTTAAAATCTCCATCCAAGTATAATCCATTAATTGATGTTACTCGAGAACATGCTGTATAAATTAATTCTCGAGGCAAATGTTTAGTTAAATTAACAATAACTCGTTCAAATGTTGATCCCTGACTTTTATGTATTGTCATGGCTTCACAACACACTAATGGGAATTGTGTACGAGTTACGTTTACATTAAGGAATCCACCCATTTGAAAATCTTTCTTTATTTGTTCAATCGGTGTCCAAGTCTCTGGAATAAAATTTTGTTTCATATATTCCTTGTACTTTCGGCGAATTTCAAATCCAGAATTTTTTGGAAATTGTATCCATATTGTTTTAATATTTGCAGTGTATTTATCTTTATCAATTCTCATTAATGTACCATAAGCACCATTAAATAAGCCATCAGAGACATCAACATTGCATGTAATCATATATTTTAATCCAATTTTTAAATTTATATCACTCATTAACCCATTTGAATCTTGATATGTCATTTTTTCAATTTTCTCAACAATTTTTTGTCTATCACTTATATTGTTATATCCTCTTATGTCATCATTAGCTTTATTATTAAGTAATTCGCCAGCTTTTTCTTCGATTGCTTTTGTATTATGCAATGCAACTTCATTATTAGTATAATATAGACAAACTGATTCATTTTTGTAAGAATCTTTAATATTAAAACGAGATTTAAGTAAAATGATATCATTTTCAATTAAATCAGCTTTTGCAAGTCTATTTAAACAATCAACAAAATCAATGTCATTTTTTTGTCTCATCACTATTGATAATTCATAAGATTTGAATTCTCTCCATAAATAAGGACCGATTATTGCGTTATAGCCATCTTTTGATTCTTTAAATGGCCATCCACCACCAACAGGCTTTGCTTGATGTAAATCTCCAATTAAAAGTATAGAAATTCCTCCAAATGGCAACGTATTTTGAAATATTTCTTTTAATCTTTTGTCGATCCAATTAAAAATTTTATTACTACAAAGACTTATTTCGTCTATAATTAAAAGCTTTAATTCTTTTAGTTTGTAGCGCATTGTATTTGTAGCATCGGCAGACAATTTATTTAAATTTCCACCAGATATCTGTTGATGTGGAAAAGCCAATGCCGCATGTAATGTTATTCCATCAACATTCCATGCTGCTTTACCAGTGTATGCTGTTATCAATATTTTAATTGAATCCAAATCTGTTCCAGGTATTGTGTTTATAAAACGAAGTATTGATTGATAAATGCATTTGAGAACATGGCTTTTACCAACACCAGCAGATCCCATTAATATTATATTAAATGGAATTTTTCCCGTTTTAAAGCGATGTAGAATATCCATAGTAATATTGCGTTGTTCAATATTTAATGATCTCATCATTTTTCTATATTCTTCTTCATCTATTATTTTTGGAACAGAGATCTTTTCAATATAAGATTTGGATGTGTTTTCTTTTGATTTGTCTGTTTCATCAAAAATGTTAGCAATAGGAGATCTAATATTTAAAATATCATGTTCTTTAGAAATTTCTTCTTCATTTGATCTTTCATTTTTATCATTTTCATCATTTTCTTTTTCATTAGCATTGATGGCGTCAAATAATTCTGTTTCTAATAATCGTGGATCAAATAGTTTTAAATTTTCTTTTATTATTTCGATATTTGATTCGTATATTTCTTTGCATTTCTCTTCTTGAAGATCATTTTCTTCATCATTCCAAGGAAAATACAACATAACCATTGAGCGATAATAATTACTTGGATCATTTTGTTTATTATATTTTTTGTAACGAATGATTTTCATTTTTTGTCTTTTTTTCATAAATCCAATATTATTTTCAAGAGTTATAATATTAGGTAATGAACTTTTGATATCACTTTCATCGCTAGATTCTTCATCATCAATCAAGTCAATTTTATCTGATTCGAGTATTTTTGAAGATATTGACTTGCAATAGTTATATGATGCTGCAAATTCAGCTAAACACAAATTATTAACTCGAT